AGCCACACTCAGCACCTGGGTGAGGCTGGGAGCAGGGCCGGCCAGAGTCACTGCAGAGCCACACTCAGCACCTGGGTGAGGCTGGGAGCAGGGCCAGAGTCACTCAGAGCATGTTTTTACTGCCCAGCAGCTGTCAGCACTTGCTTCAATCGGAGTAATTTTAAAAGTCAGGATTATTAGGATAATTAAACTTGGAATGTGGTCATTTTGTTGGCTTTACGAGACTGCAGTTCTGAATTCTTGGTTAAAAGTTTTGGCTGCCATAAAAATATTATTTTGCATATATGTTGAGTTGTAAGATGAAAAGAAAGACATTTTGTGTTTTTTTATTTAGTTGAAATGATTTCAAGTTTCTGCAAATATGGTATTTAAGCATTTATTAGCGCTCTAAGAGGTGTGTGAAGTTGAAGTAAAGGCTTTAAAGTTACAAAGACAGAGAGAGAGGAAAGAGAAGACTACTTTCTGATACTCCCTACCTCTCCTTCCTTAGAACTCCAGGGCGAGATAAGGAATGTGCCTTACCAGGAATATACTGAGGCCCGAATAAATAGAGGGTTTTCTACACCAGTTATTTAAGAACATTACAATTTTCCGGCCTGTTTTTCCCTCTCTTTGCCAAATCTATAAAGAGATATTAAAATATTAAAATAAAACCTAATCATTTGCACCCTCATATTAATCTGGAATAAAATTAATAAAATGGAAAATATATTAAAACGAGATATGGTTCTGATTGTGAAAAATGTTTGTCTGGAGACGTTCAGCCAGTGCATGCAAAGGTTCGAAACCTTCCTGAAACATATGATTGTTGTTCTGCCTCTGCCACTGAGGCTTCCACATGCTTGGACATTCATATGAAGTCCTTCCTGACCCTCGGGGCTTGGCTGATGCCCCTCCTCTGTGGGATACCCCTTATCTGTACTTCCACCCTTTCTACCTACCTCCTCTGTGTTAGAATTACCCGCTTATCATGTCTTTTCTTACCCGCTTAGCCTGTCTTTTTTTTTTGCAGTTTTTGGCCCGGGCTGGCTTTGAACCTGCCACCTCTGGCATATGGGGCCGGTGCCCTACTCCTTTGAGCCACAGGCACCTCCCTAGCCTGTCTTTTTTTGCTTCTATAAGGAAACCCTCCAGAAACCCTGGGTGAGATTGAGTTCCCTTATTAAGTGTCCACAACCCCCTACAGTTCTCCTTTAATTATGTAATTATGCATAATTGGTAGCAGGAATGGCGACTGCGATCACGGCTCTCCATCTTACCTAGTCATTAAGGCTGAGGCTTTCCTTTACATACCTCTGTTCTCTCCCAGCAGACCTTTAATTTTCCAAAAGTTGTTTAGCAAAAGAGAATACTGCTTTATTTAAAACAATAGCTGATATTTGCATGGAGTTTTAAAAGTCATATAATTCTATAAGGTTTATAATGATAAAAGCAATATACTGTTCCTCCTTTTACCTCCAAATTCCAACTACTCAAAGGTAACATTTTTTTCCTCCCGATGATATAGGGTTCTCCCATTCAAGGCTGGACAAGGGACCCCAGTTTTCCTAGGCCTGGGCAATTTCATGAAGGGAACACCCTGACCTTCCGGAGCTGGAGGGACCCCACTCATTCATTTGTCAATAATGCTCATTAACAAGTCATGGCCAAATGTAATTCTCAAGGCCTTAGACCCCCTAGACAAAGGTTCCTTGTGGCACTTGGGTGCTTTTTACCCTTCCGTACTACTTTCTGTCAAACAATTCCTATCTTACCACTGATCTGTGGTCTGTGGGTTCATTCTTCAAATCCCCAGACCAAGGACCCACTGAAGAAATTCCAGTAACAATTACATTAGATGTTTTTTCTGATACTTGCTTCTGTCTTCCAAAAAAACATTCTTATGTTGCCGTTATTTGGAGATTGCTCAGTATCATGTCTTTTTTTTTTTTTTTTTTTTCCCCAGCTTTTTGGCCAGAGCTGGGTTTGAATCTGCCACCTCTGGTATGTGGGGCCAACGCCCTACTCCTTGAGCCACAGTAGCCACTCAATCAGTATCTTTGGGTTTTCTACTACAGAGAATGAAGACCAACGTCTCCTGTAACTCTTCCCACCCGTTGCCCGTCACACCCACCTTCACATACATTCTGTTCCTCTTCTGTTTCTCCGCGTAGGATTACATTAGTCTACAACTTTCGGTTAACTCAACGTGAGCGTGCATTGTACAGTGATTACATTTCCTTTTATAACTCTTTTGTTCTTCCTGGAATTGATAATTGTCTCTCTTTATTGATTATTTAGATTTCAATTTACCCAAAGATACCTGCAAAATTATAAATTTCCTTTCATAAGGTTTGAATACGTTGAATTATTTCTTGTTGTTATTAATTTTGTGGCACATCCCTCTGGAGCCCTCTGCCCCCAGCCTCTCTGCCCCCACGTGGACGGCTGCTGTCCAGGTGTCCCTCTGGGATCTCCTTCATGCTCATCCTGGACACGTCTCTTCTCCCCATGTGGGACCCCGACTTTTTGGATCTTAGGTCTTTTTTGTTTTACTCCTTAGCTTTATGGAGCAAAACTTCCAGTAATTCCTGAGAAAGGACTCATGTTTTGCACAATTTTAAGAACATGAACATTTGCAAATGTCATTTTTCTATCCTCACACTTGAACGAAAGTTTGACTGAATATAGCGATTGGAACCATTTTCCTTGGAATTCCAAAGACATAGTTCCATTGTCTTTTTACACGAAGCATTGCTGTGGAAGAGTGAATTCCTTTCTAATTCTCACTCTTTCTCCCTCTTTTTTCTCTTTGGAAATACTTCAGAACTCCCTTTTTTCTCCAGTAAATAAAA